AGTGCGGAGCGGACGTCACCCCGCCGCGCGCCTGCAGGGGTTCGGATGCTTTTGCGAGAATAACACAGGTGTGTGCCGCGGGGAGGCCGACTTCGTATCACAGGAGCCGAGCTTGCCGAGCGGCTGGGGACAGTTTCTACTCCCTTTACATTGTTAGGGCCTTTAATACACTAAGTACCCGTGTGAAGCTGGTGTTGTTCCCATTTTACAGATGGGGACACTGAGCCACAGGAAACCGGGAGGGACTTGCGCGGGGCTATGCAGAAGCCACAGGTTATAGACGAACCCGTGCAGGCTGGCTTCCCAGCCCCTCTGCTAACTGTATGAAGTCCCAATTGCGGGAGCCCATTAGGTCGAGTCAGAGAGTGAGGAACCCTGCACGTGAGGGCCCAGAGTAGTCAGTAGAGAACATGTGTTCTCATGACTTCAAATAGTCGCAGGTTTTACTTATACTTTACGAATTCAGTGAGATTTACTCTGCCATTCGTTTCAACAAATGTTTATGGAGCCTCTTTCACGGGCCAGCCTCGAACTGGACTCTGGAGCTACACAAGGAAATTAGCCGAAGTTCGTGCCTGCAGGAAGCTCCTGTGTAAGACAGAGATAAGCAATGAAATCCACAGCCCCAGGATCCCAGGAGGGGTGCCCTCGGTGCCCTGGGTGCTTCTGTGCTTGTGCCCCGGGAGCAGAAGGGAGCGCTGGGGTCAGGGAAGGCTTCTGGGTGAGTTCTAGCCTGAGTTTTGAGGACGGAAGGTAATGTTAGCTCACGAGGCGCTGGGACTGGCTTTAGGGAAGGCATGGCGGTGTGAGGCAGCGGGACCACACACTGTCTCCAGGTGCCGGAGTGAGAGGCGGTCAGAGGGAAGGCACAGGGCCCTGGCCCAGACCCCAGACCCCACCAGCAATGAATGGGTCCTTTACTCGGCAGTCCTAGCCTGTGCAAGTATATATTAGCGTAAAGTTTATTATGATACGTTAAGCAAAAATTTTAACTTCCACCGCTGAAAGTTTTCTTGTTTGTCTTTAAAAAAGAATTTATTGGGCCATTGCTAACAAGAAAAAGCAGGTTGTGGGCATGAAGTCTAAACCACCAGGAGCAGTGCCAGGCGGGAAAGACATGTCCGCAGCCCTGGAGTTAAGGACTTTTTTGTTGTTGTTGTTAATCCTCATCCGAGGATATTTTTCCATTGATTTTTAGAGGAGGGGAAGAGAGAGGGAAAGACAGAGAGAAATACATTGATTGGTTGCCTCCTGCATGCGCCCTGACCAGGGCCTGGGCCGGGGAGGAGCCTGCAACCTATGTATACGTGCCCTGGACCAGATTTGAACACGGGACCCTTTTGGTCCACAGGCTGACGCTCTATCCACTGAGCCACACTGGCCAGGGCTGCTGACTTTTTTAAAACATCAGGTGGCGCCCGGCTGGCAGGGCTCGTGGTTGGTTGAGCGTGGACCTATGAACCAGGAGATCACAGTTCGATTCCCAGTCCGGTCATATGCCTGGGGAGTGGGCTTGATCACCAGCGTGGGATCCCCAGGGGGCAGCCGATCTATGATTCTCATCACTGATGTTTCTATCTTTCCCTCTCCCTTCCTCTCTGAAATCAATAAAAATATATTGAAAAATTAATAAAGAAAATTGTATTAAATAGAATAAGACATCAGGCAGGGGGGAGAAAGGTGTAAGTTGCTTTGAAAGAATTCACCTTGGCTACAGAGAAGGTTGGTGGAATAAGGCGAAGTATGGGCAACAGTCTGAAAAGTTCATGTGTGAGCAAGAATGGAGGCTCCTGGGTGGGTGCAGTGGTGCCTGGCAGAAATAGCCGCCTGGAAGTTAAACACCAACCTGCACTCGGGAATATAAGCGGTCTTGTTGCTTTGCCCTGCCGTTGTTAACTGATCAGCCCCTTCTTGTCTCTACCTTCCACCCTGTTGTAATTTAATTTAGGACAGCTCAGAATTCTCTCCTTATCAAATGGGAGGTGGCTGTGGTGTGTGGGTGTGTGTGTGTGAGTAGGGGAGGAAGGGAAGAGTAAGAGTCTACATTTAGCCGCAGGCCTCCACCCATCTGTCCGTCTTCCCATCTAATGGTATTTTCCTGTAGTGCCCTGACCCCAGAGTGGTTGCTTAAAGCAAAAGGTTTTGTGTGAGGAAGGGAAGGGAGGGTAGAGAAGAATAAAACCAAGCACATTAAATGATGGGGCACAAAGGAATCCATAGGCACCTAGGAACACTGAGAACATTCAACTTTTTACCTCGTTCCTGGGTGCCTGGTAAGCATAAGATGTCACGCCTCTAACCGGACAAACCAGCCGCACACACGCTGGAACCGAAGCACAGGCCGTGTGCAGCTTTCAGTGCTCCTGGGGCCGGCTCCTCGCCCCGCAGTGGGTGTGTGCACTGCAGAGATCTTTGGCTGCTAATCTGATGTTTCAACTTAATTTTCAAATAAGTAATATGTTTCCTTGGTTCAAAAATCACCAAGTGTTAAAGGAACAATTCCCCCTCTCATTGCATCATTTTCTCTAACCCTTCCACCACTCATCACATAGTTTTTGTGTGTCTTTTCCTAAGTTCTTGATGCATGAATAAGCAAGTGGGAATGTAACTTCTCATTGCCCCACTTTCTACACACATTGTAGGGCCTGATAACCAGGGTTCCACACCTTGCTTTTTCCCCTGTCGGCCACTGTATCCTGGAGCCTTTTCGTGTCAGTTCATAGACTTCTTCCTTTGAAGTTTTACAGCCCGTTCCATTGATTGGCATGTCGGCTTTCCCCGGTGGTTTGTTATTGTGAACAACTGCCATTACATAACCTTGTGCCTATGTCACTGCCCAGGTATGCACGTATGTCTGTAGGATGCATTCCTAGATCAGGAATTGGTGCATCAACCTGGACATTTTGATAGATAATGTTAAACTTCCCACCCTAGGGGCTTTATCAGCATGCATGCCCACCGCCTCACCTGCTTCTCCTCAGCTTGGTCAGCTGCGTGGGCTCTGAGACCTCCAGGTCTGACAAGCCAATCGGTGAGAACTGGTATGCCCGGAGCATGTTCATTTGCATCTCCTTCACAAGTGTCTTTCCCACCTAAAGTGGATTATCTTAAAAGCCCAAGCTTGGAGCTTCCCACCTGCATGTGCAATGTCTCTGGAATCTTTGAGAAAATATATACCTTTATTTTTAAAAATAGCTTTTGACATTCTTTGAAAATAAGAGGAGCGCCATCTACAAGCCACTGCTGGACAATATGAACACACGACAGGCATTTTGAAATTAAGATTTGACAAACAACAGAATCTAAAGTCAGGTCCCCAGAAGTTCACGGCACTGTTTAAAGCCGCCTGGCTGGGTTTGGTAAAACAGACCCGTGAGAGTCTTTTTGTAGATGTAACATTTGTTTTCCTGTAATAAATATTTTCCCCATGGGCCCACCTGTCTTCCCCAAACAGCATTATGCTCTTCTCGGGTCTTGAAAAGGGCATCCAGAAGTCCACGCGTGCTTGAGGCCAGCCCTCCCCGTGTCCCCTATAGCATGGGTCCCACTCCCTGACGGGTCCCAGAGGACCACCGCTTGAGGAGTTCGGGAACCCGGTCAGAGGCAGCGTGCTATCTCTTTCCCCACAGGGAGCCACCTGCCCAGAGAGGTATAGGTTGTGGAGGGCTCGGCTGTCGGCACACCTGGACTGCAAACAACCACCGTTTGAGCAGATAGCTGGAGGTTGCTTTGGTTTTAATCCTAAAATGAATGGAAGAGTATGGCCCAGTGACTTCTGGGCCTTCGTAAACAGAAAATAGTTGTTCCCGAATGGCTTGCTCCCGAGTGGTCCTCATCAGGGGCCCCCAGCGCTGTCCAGGGTGGGGTCCCCAGGTGACGAGGCCTTGCCCCGTGGCTGACAGCACCTGCGTTTCAGGATGCAGTCGAGGCTGTGGTGTCCCTGACAAGCACATCTGTTGTCTTCCCCACCCTTCCTCACCCAGCCCAGCCTGGGAATCCACCTCGGGAACTGGCCCGGCTGGTGTGGCCTCTGATGAGTGGTTGGGTCATGAGGAGGAGGCCTTGGGCTGGGAGAGGTGGGAGCCCCAAGGGTTAATTTGCCCGCATAGTTCGCAGCTGATTCAAGTCTCGGCCATTAGGCGTCTGCACTCCCCGTCTTCCTGTCCATCCTTGACAACCCAAGACTCCACCTGCGGACCCTTCCTCGGCCCGGGAGGCGTGGGGAGGACTCCGGCTGTGTGTGCGGCCGTTCTGCTGGCCTCGCCTCTGTCGACAAACGCCTGTTTCCCCACGTGGCCCCCGCTCCCAGGAAGACCTTCCTCTGCTCCTTCCCCCAGACACCCTGGGCCCCAGCCTCTGAGGTCAGCTACTTCCTCGGGGAGGTCACCTTCTAGGCTGGCGATTTGGGGGTCCGGCCGTGAGGGTCAGGAGTGGGCGCTGAGATTCTGGGGAGCCCGTGTGCTTTGGGCCCCTTCTGTTTGTGAGAACAGACTAGAGACTCCTGGGTGGGAGTTCTGACCCGGTCGCGTCCTGCCATCGGGCCCCCATCCAGCAGAACGCCTTATCCCCGCGAGGGAGCCCCACCTGCTTCAGGGGGGTCACCGGCAGGTGAGCACACCCCAGGGCTGGCCACCCCGCGAAGGGGCAGCACCCGTCTCCCCACCTGGCCCAGCCCCGGCCTGGAGGAAGGAGAGAGCATCTGCGGAGGCTCCTGGGCTTGTGTCTGGGCACGGGTTTCCATCGCACGTGTGACCCTGACCCAGAACCTGCAGTCTCCGTTTCCGTCCAGAGCTCAGGGGCTCAGCCCAGCTCTGGCCGAGATCACCAGCCCTGTCCCCGTCATGCCCAACCCCGGCTGGGAGCAGGGAGCTGGAGGCTAGGCGATGCCACACACCTCCAGTGAGCACCATCCTGATGCCCTCCCTCTGCTCCCCGTCTCCCCTCTGCCCTGGGGCCCCCTGCCCCGCCCAGGCCGTGGGGTGGCCCTGCAGGTGCCTCCTCTCACGCCTGCTTCCTCACCAGCAGCACCCAGGGCAAGATGGCAGCGACCACCGCCACCACGGCGATGAGGGTGATGAGCAGGAGGGCCCGGGAGCGGCAGCAGAAGGACCTGGTGGAGCGGGGCGCTGGGGGCGCCTCGGAG